TCCATAATTTGTATTACTGAATTACAAACAAAAAATTACATATGAATTTGCTAAATGCAAACAGCAAACTGAAGAAAAACATCCAGCAAAACTTGCATTATTGAATTGCATGCAATAAACTACCTATGACTTGGCCAAATGCAAACAGCAAACTGAAAAAAAAATAAAAAAAATCAGCATCATTAAAAACATCAACCAAAAAATTGTTTATGGAACAATTTGCAAACAACAAAAACATTAAACAAAATGTTTGTAAAATGTAACTTAAGACATACCTTGCAAATTGCAAACCAAAAGAATCGAATCTTAACATCAAATGCAATTTTTCAGACAACAAACAAAGTTAAACCAACCTGCAAGCGAAAATTGCCAACAACAAAAACGATGCGAAGGTTCTACATACGGGAGACACAATATGAATTTTGGCTATGATTTTGGATTTCTGAATTTTTGTTGTCTTCTTTAATTCTTCCACCAAGAAATCATCTCATAATCTAAAAAAATCCCTATTTATTTCCTTCTCTATAATATTTCTTTATCAAAAAAAGTAAAGAAAAAGAAAAGAAAAAAAAAACAGAGAAGCTCGAGAGAGGGAGAAAGGCGTGAGACACAGAGGAGAGAAAGAGATGAGAGATTAAAGATAGGGTGAGAGAAATGTGAGATTAGAGAGAGAAGATGTATGAGATTTGTTTTCTTATTAATTGAGGGTAATTATGTCAATACACTAATTATTTTATTTTATTTATATTATTTTTTTGAGTCAAAGGACCTATGCCTATATTCATCTAGCAACTAGGATATGTACCTATATAAGTCCAAAATAAGGGGTGTCTAGCAAATTTTCCCTTTTTAAAATCACAACATAACTAACATTACAATAGCAGGTTTACAAAATTGATATGCCACCAAAGTGTAATGAAATGTACAATATACAATACAACATCTAGTGCAAAATACACAATAAATAGCAAAGTGCAAAATACACATAAAACGGCAAAATAAAAAACCAACAAAAAAAGACCTTTGGAGAAAACAAAATTATTACCTAGGGTCGTAGACTCATATATAGCAAATTACCTGTACGTTTTCGATTTCGCACCATCTTCTCGTTTATGTTTTCTTTTGTGGTGGTTTGCAGACCTACAGAATATGCATCGATCTCGCACCATCGGTTTTTTTTTTTAGAGTTTGGGTTGAATGAAATGGGGAAGAATTTTGCATGTTTCAATTTGACGAAATTATATTTTTTCCTTTTGTGGTGATTTGCAGAATTACAAACTTTCCATCGATCTGAGAATTAAGGGGATAGGGTAACAACGTATATATATATATATATATATATATATATATATATATATATATATATATATATATATATATATATATATACACCAACCATCATTAGGGGAAGGGGGACTCGAACCCTGGATCTTTACCCTATTGGTAACGCTAGGTACCAACTCTCCTAAGATGGCAAAAGTTTTCAAAGGAGAAGATGGTTCCATGCCCATGGACAAGATATCCGAGTTGCCGAAAGAGATCTTACAGCAAATTCTATACTTCCTCTCTCAAAAAGAGATTGTCCGAACATCAATCTTGTCAAATCATGGCGTTACAATTGGTGTACTCGCCCCAATCTCAATTTTCAGACGCCACCTTCAGAGGTAAAAAGGGAAAATTTCGGTCGTTTGTGGACAAGACTTTAGAGCTTATTGTGATCAGAAGACGGGCATAGTGGAGTTTCACCTTTGTATATCGTTAGATAAGTATGATGAATCGGTTCGGCTTCTTGAAAAATGGGTTCCGTTACTCACAATTATGGGTGTGAAGGATTTTTGTCTTTCTATTCGTACGAATGATCCGGCGGTGCATGTTAAACTGCCCATTGTAGTATTCAGAGACGAATCGCTCCAAGATTTGTATGTGGATAGATTCGTGTTGGACCAAAAGACCATTCAAAGGATAGTACTCTCTAAGCATCTCAAAAAACTTCGTCTCCAACCAGTCCGCATTGAGGACGACACTTCGATAATTTATTCAGCGTGTCTTGAACCCATCATAATTACTTGCACCAATTTTTCTTTTCACAAAGGTGCGGATTTTAGCAATCTCAAAGAATTGTGGAAGAGAGAGGGAGGAGGGGAGAGGGAAGAGGTGTTCTGGAATTAGGGCGTGCAGAAGGGGATTATAATTTAGTTTTGCGACGTTTATAAGTTTTCGTCGCAGGACCAATTTTTCTAGTTGCGACGTTTTCTTATATTTTAGTCGCCACATCAAATTTATGGAAATAAAATAGCCGCTAACATTGCTACGTTAGGTAAATTCGTCACAGTAGTCGAATCAAAATTGCGACATTACTTAATTAATAGTCGCAACAAAAATTTTTGTGGAAAAAAAATGCCGCTTATATTGCGACGTTTTCTTCCATTGTATTATTTTAGTCACAAATAAATTTAGAATAATTAAATTGCAAAATCATTGCGACGCAACAGTATCAAAATGTCGCCAATTTTCCAATCATATTGCGATGCTTTTTTTAATACGTCGCAAATATTATTAATTAAAAAAAAATTACAAATATTTTTTTTCTGTTGCGACCAAAATTTGTAATAATGTCGCATCCGTGCGACGTATATGACAGATTCGTCGCCTTTTCTTCAGGGATCTTTTCGTTATCAAGTTTGCAATGATTTCGGCGACGTAATTCGAAATTGCCACAATATTTACTCAAAATTTTACATACAATTTCCGTCGCAAAAAATAAAAAAAAAACGTCGTCTGAAATGAAATTTGGCCTAGTGTGCTAGAAAATAAAATTTTCAAATAACTTGATAATAGAATAGCTGAAGAAATTTGCTTTCCTTTTTTTTGATTTTTGTGAAATAGTTTTTTTGTGATAAACATATAACCGTAAAATATGTTGATGAGATGTATTTTTTTTTTCACTTTATAATTTTAAAAGAATTGATGAGTGTAAAAAAATTAATTTGACGTTTGCCATCCTAAAAACATACAATTAAATATTATGGTAAAATTCATTTTGCACCCCTGTATTATGCAAAATGTATCATTTACCCTTGATGTATAAGAAACATCAAACACTCCCCTGTCATTAATATTTTACTAATTCCGTTAGTCAAACTCTTTGACCGACTGTGGCAAAGAGGTTTTTCCTTTTTTTTGACGAAAATACCCCAAAAATCTCTAGGCTTAGTTTTGAGCATTTTTCATAAAAACATTCACTCTTTTCGGCCTTTTTTCGCTTTATTCAATAATTTTAAATTATTTTCAAACCTTTTTGTGTTGTTTCTACATAAATAAATGAAAAATATCGGATCAATAGAAATGAAGTTTTACAAATTATGAATGTAAAACGCCACAAAAAAGAAAACTGAAAATCCCTAGAATCTAAAAAAAACTCTAAAATTGAAATAAAAACCTAATTTGAAAGAATTGCAAATTTAAAACAAAGCTTTTCATATTATACCTTCTGTGAGAAATAAAAGAAAATATCTGAAATTGTGTAAAGTCAAAATTCGTGAAAAGTTACACTGTAAGGGGTTGGTGTAAGACGGAAACAAATATGAGTGATTATTCGGTAATTACGAATATGTGTAGGTGATTTTTGTAATTTAATCTAAGTTTAGGGGGCTTTTCGTAATTTACCCTTATTATTAGTAGTATTTGCTATTGGTAGGATGCAACTCTTGAAGGAAAAATGTTGGCCTACAAAACTGTAGGTATGAATAATGATTCTTCTCCACTTCTTCTATCTCCACTTTCATACAAATCATCTTCAAAAATTGAAACAGGAGCAATTCATTTCTTCATTCTGCAACAAATTAAAGGATGGCAGAAATGGGTTCTTCCTCACGTGACACTCTGCTCCAACTCTTTGATGAGGTAATTGAATGAGAAGAAGACGAGCCAATCAAATGGCTGTTTTAACTGGACACCGAATCACCTATCAGCTGTTCGACGTTATGTCTCAAAGACGAGACTCAAAATCACCTCGGACATAACCTGGCTGCCCTCAGCAGAACTGCTTAGGAAGTCGAAAGACCCGAAAATGCTGGCCTACTTCACTCAAGAGCTTCGAACATTCTTCACGGTGGTGCCGACGCTAGGCCAGCTATTTCACAAAGACACCACCCTCAAGAAAAACGAGCTGATTGCAGCTTTCAACTACTGCAACCACAAAACAGATTTTGTTCTCGCCTTTGAGGATCGAATTCACAGTCTTGAGAACATTACTGCATGCATTCATTTTTCTTCTCGGCCGGATTCTTGATCGGCTCTTTCTTGCTCGGAGATGCCCCTCTCTGGTATTTCTCCATCAGGATCCCTCATGTCATCCACAAGATTAAGCTTATCGGGACTGAGCTCCAAGAAATCAAAAACAATGGAGAAGCTAACTTAGGAGGAGTCACAAAGAGTTTTGGTGCACAGCTGTATTTTGATGATGTGGCAGTGGGTTTCGATGACAACGCAGCATATATTCTGGAACAACTCGTAGGAGGAAGTGAGAAGCTGCAGATAACCTCCATCTTTGGAATGCCTGGACTAGGTAAGACTACATTTGCAAATTAAAGAAACTATTCGCTCATCCTTTAGTTTACTGCTGGTTCGATAGATGCTCATGGAGTGTGGTCTCCCAAACATATCACAGGCGAGATCTGCTGACCGATATTCTGATTGGCTTATCGATTGAGCTCGACCAAAATAGGATGTTGAATATGGACGAAGAGAGTTTAGTGGAACAGATCTACAAAACTTTAAAAGGAAGAAGATACTTAATTATAATGGATGATATATGGGATTCGAATGCATGGTACGATGTTTTCTGGATGATGGAAATGGAAGCCGAATTTTGTTAACAACTTGGAATAGAGACGTGGGCCCACCTGGCACCGTAATTCATGAGCTTCCATTTTTGTCGGACGAGCAATGTCGGGAGTTACTAGAGAAGACGGTATTCGGTAATAAGCCGTGCCCTATATATGAATTTGCAACGGATTGCTAAGGAAATCGCTGTTAATTGCTGTGGACTTCCTCTTGTGGTTGTTGTTATATCCGTTATTCTTTCAACTATGGAGAAGGAAGAGAATGCGTGGAGGGAAGTAGGGCAAAATGTAGCGTCGTACATTTCTTTAGGCGGAAACAACTTTACCATGCAAATATTGGAGTTCAGTTACGAGAATCTTCCGGAACGTTTGAAGCCGTGCTTTCTTTATCTCGGTGTGTTTCCGGAAGATAAAGAAATTTCATTTCGCAAAGTTGACGAGGCTTTGGATTGCCCAAGGGTTTATAGACAAGCATCATAAGAATAATAGTGCAGAGGATTTAGCAGAAGAGTATTTAATGGAACTAATAGATAGAAGCCTAGTCATTGTTTCCGAAAGACGACCGTACGGTGGAGTCAAATCTTGCACTGTTCATGATCTGCTGTGCGAGTTGTGCTTGAGAAAAGGCGAAGAAGAAAACTTCTTAAGATTGGTGGTGGAAGAGTAAGTTTTACTCTCTTTTAATTATCTATTTTGCTGCTTCAAAGTTTTGTGTTTTAATTATTGTCTTTTTCCAGTGACTATTCAATATACGAGAGAGGGCAGCACGTACAATCGCTCGGATCTTCGATAGCTCCATTTGGCCAACACGTTCGATCATTCCACGGGAAGGTTGCGGAGCCGCCGTTCTACGTTGTCAGCATGACATCACTTAGGGTTATGGGTTTCAACTCGTGATTTATTCGGAATCGAGTTTCGTGATTTATTTGGAATCGAGTTTGTGTTTCAATCGAGATACTTGGTAATCAACGATTTTCCACCATCAATAGGCAGCCTCGTGAACCTAGAATATCTACTCGTTCTGACATGCCACACACAAGTTATCACCTCGAAAATAATGAGAATGACAAAGTTGAGATACGTCCACATAACCCACCAAGCGAAATACGACGAAAGCTGCTATAGTGACATATCCCACACAAACAACATACAATCACTTTCAAACATTGTGCTTTACAAACCGAGGGATAGAGAGATGCTGAAGCGTTCGCCACATATTCGCAAACTCAAGTGCGAATGCAAACCGTGGCACGGTGAAGACGGTGTTTATCAATATCTGGACCTACGATTTCTCAGCCAGCTGGAGTCGGTTAGCATGCCCACGTTTTACGGGCCCCACAGGGCTGAGGTCAGCTTTCCGGCGACCGTCAAGACGCTTGTCTAGTCTGCTGTACGGATTGAAGAGGAGAAACGTGACATGGGGAATGAAGATCTTAGACTGGTATCTTCTTAATTCTGATTTTCTTTTTAGTTTGTGTTATTGGTTTGCACTTTGCTAAGTCCCTTTACTCCTAAATTAAAATATATAACTAATCAATGGCAGATTTTCATTCGATAGTGTAGTTTGAAGCTCAACTACTTGTGGTGCATTAATTTGTGATCCGTAGTGGTAGTCAATGGCCCAAGGAAACTTGGATTTGAATTTGAAAGTTGAATCTTGAAATTCGTTCACCATTTTTAGTTTGATTAACATTTTTAGTTTGATTGATTCATGTGATTTGACTATGACTAGCAACCACCACGTGTGTTGCATGTAATAATTTATGATTTTATTTATTATACAAATTTATAATTAAAAAAATAAAGATAAGACATGATATTTAAAAATAAATTAAAATTAAATAAATCATGTAAGTACAAAAATTATTGTTTTGATTATAGCTGGGCATGGGTTCGGTAGGGTAATTATCGACAAATTACCTACCTGATCCGAATACCCAATTAAAAAAAAAAATTGAAAATCATAACTAGAAGATATTATTAGTACCCAAACACCCAATCAATATGGGTCGGATAATGGTTGTGATACGATATATATTTAATATATCGTATATTTATTCATTAGTTATTATTTAATTATTTAATATATATTATTTAAGTATTAATTTAGTTAGAGCCGTAGGTTTAATGATTATAGGATAGATATTAAGTATTTTATTAGTTTAGGTAATTATCTTTCCTAGTTAGATTATGATTCTAGGGTTTTATTCTCTTTAAATAGTCGTCTTGTGCTAGGGTTTTATTATGAAGAGAAATAATAAAGAAGAGTTTTCTTACGTTTCGTAAAGAAATCTTATGATACACAAGAGATCGTATCAATTGGTATCAAAGCGAAGTTGCGATAACACCAACGCTTCGTTAGCAAAGCAGAGATTATATCAAAGCTAAGCTGGAGCAAAGTTGAGATCACATCAAAACTTTGTGAAAATCATGATGTCCGAAACAAGACGGTTAGAGCGATTGGAGAAATCCGTAGAGAGATTACGGATTGATTTTCAGAAATTGCTCGAACAAAGTCACAGACGACGTCAACACCAACACAAAAGTCGAAGGGACCGCCGCCCATTACCGCCAACGCCACCGCCGCTGCCGCTGCCGAGTCTATCGCCGGAGGAAGAGGAAGAGGACGACGATGAATTTTTCAAAGAGCCACCGCCGCCGCCGCTGCAGAGCCTATCGCCGGAAGAAGAGGAAGAGTACGACGATGACTTTTTCGAAGAACTCCAATTTTTTGTGAGTTCGCCAGAAGAAGAGGAATCAGATTCAACTGAGATGAAGTGGGACGAAGAGCCGAAAGAAGAAGAATCGGAGTCAACCGAGATAAAGTGGGACGAAGACGAGAAATTAACCAGAGAGGAGAGCGAAGAGTTACTATGGATATTGGGAGATTTCCATGGTGTTCAAAAGAAAGGAGAAGAAGAAACCGATGGTCAGTTTGGAGGAGACAAAATCTACAAAGACGATTGAAAAAGTTTATGTATCGGGAAAAAGATTGAATATTTTCGCTAAAGTAGCCTTTGGAATTTCGATGGATCAGCATGAACAATGTATTAAAAAGCTCGGTCGTTCATCGTGTTTTTCGGAGTCAATCGTGAAGCAAGTCAATGAAGTCAAACATAGGTGGAAACGCAAAGGAGAGGGATCAAATTGACTCGAACCTTGAGGACAAGGTTCATTTCAAGAGGGGTGGTTTGATACGATATATATTTAATATATCGTATATTTATTCATTAGTTATTATTTAATTATTTAATATATATTATTTAAGTATTAATTTAGTTAGAGCCGTAGGTTTAATGATTATAGGATAGATATTAAGTATTTTATTAGTTTAGGTAATTATCTTTCCTAGTTAGATTAGGATTCTAGGGTTTTATTCTCTTTAAATAGTCGTCTTGTGCTAGGGTTTTATTATGAAGAGAAATAATAAAAAAGAGTTTTCTTACGTTTCGTAAAGAAATCTTATGATACACAAGAGATCGTATCAGGTTGACAACCGACTTTGTCAGATAAATAATGAGTTAGTTGTCAATATTATTATTTATTGATTTTTTTTTATTTTACAATAATAAATTTTATTAAAAAGTGTTTTCAAAAGATATTCAAAATTTTGGGAAAACAAATGTTCAAAATATCTTAATTTTAAAGTTAAGAGTTTTTTTATTAAACTTCTATATTAAGTAAATTTATGGTTTTATCTATCCTACACCCGGTGAAAGTTACATCGTGTGATTTTTTACCGTTGATCTACACATATCAATGTGGGTGTGTGTGTTTGTGTGTATATGAATGGTAAAGATCTACCCAGTGTATTTCACCCGGTGTACGATCTCAAAAGCCGTAAATATATAGTGAAGAATATGATATATAAGAATTATAAAATAAAAATAGTACATAAAGGTTTACAAATTTGTGTTTTGATTTTTTTTTGTTTCGACTTCTTTTATATATTATTTTAACATTATGAAAAATAAGAATATCAATTAAATATTTCTAATAAATTTTTACTTTTAAAAAATTCGGTTGACCGATATTACCCAAAACCGCTTTATTTGAGTTAACTGAAAATCATCGACCCACCCATTTATATATGGGTCGATTAAAATTACCGGCCGAACTATATGGGTCTGTTAATTACCTGTTATCGGCCAACAGAAGTGGGTCGAAAGTGAGTCAGTCGACCGATGAAATCGACCCATGCACAACCCTAGTTCTGATTATGTCTTGTGCCTGAGTCATAACTGTTATCTATCTTCAGTTTGACCAAGGAGAAGGAGGAGGAGGAGGAGGAGAAAGGAGAATGAGAAGGAGGAGAAGGAGAAGGAGAAGGAGAATGAGAAAGAGAAAAAAGAGAAGGAGAAGAAGAAGGAGAAGGAGAAGAATGAGGAGAAGAAGAAGAAGAAGAAGAAGAAGAAGAAGAAGAAGAAGAAGAAGAAGAAGAAGAAGAAGAAGAAGAAGTCACCGCTTGTTCTTAAAAAAACTGTCGATGAGTCCATAACTGGAAAATCAGATAATCAATGTAGGCAAATAGCCTTTGCCTTGTCATATTAATGAATACATCAGCCCTCTCATCAACCAAATTCTTTTCATTACGTCTCCTTACAATAGATCCCATAAATTAACTGCAAAGAAACAGACAACTACTGCAAGTATCATAATATGAGGAAAATGATCGCATAAATTAGATCCAGTGCAAAATTAACAAACAGTAAAGAAGAATATGTTAAAAAAGTTCACTAAGAACACAATAAATAGTGTTAAAACGCTGAAAAAGGATTTCATTAAATCACTTTGATGATATATGGATCACCTTGATAGATTTGACGGGAACACGATGTTAGAGTAGGTGACCAAAGAGCCAACTAATTGTTGTGTTTTCTCACGCTACTCACAAATAATCCATTTTGTAATAATGATAAAAACCCTCTTTGGCATTCTATATCTTTGTCCCTTGCATAAGCATAGATACAGTCCTTACAGTTACTTTTACTATAAATCGATCTAGTAGAATCGTGAGATTATTTATTCAAGTATAATAACTGTTAAACGTGGTTCCTAGTCAACGGGTTACGCTACTAATGAGGATATCGGCCTTTCCCATTCGAGACTAGCACTTAGTGTATGTGTACTGTGTCTCATTAGTCAACGGTGTTGTAACATCGGCATACATAAGTGGGTGCTCATAAGTTGATGAGTTCACTGAACTCCCTCAATCTAGAGATCTATAAGTGGTTCCCAATAATCGAGTAGAGGTTCCTATGATATAGTTGTACACCATTAATCCTTAAGACCCAGACATCACCTTGACTTCACTAGAGGACCAGCTGTATCGTGACCTATCCCTGAGTTCCACCGAGGACTGCCCCAAGGGCCAGTGTTCGTGCAGTCCGAAATCTAGTGGGAGGTCTGTGCATTATAGTAGGGGATTTGATCGCTTGATCAGTCATGAATATCCTGTGTGTTCTTGCGATTTATAATCCATGAAGTCTGTGGCCACAGCTGAAAGTGTCGTGATTAGAGAAATGTGTTTCTCCAAGTCAAACACGAACAAATTATATTATCAAGAACGTCCACACAGTTATTGAACTCATAAAGAGGTCTCGACGAACCAATGCCTCTAGTTCAATTGGGATATATGTATCGAAGGGATCGTACTGTACGTTAACTATATCACACGGTTCTTGTAGGCACTTCATTTTTATCTAGCGAATCATGACGCGTAGTTGCTAGACACCAATCTTGATTCGTTGGGTAGTTTAGTTGAAACTACCTTCAACTTAATTGTAACTCTAGGGACGAGTTTAAACCACAATGGGTTGTGGGCCCACGGCTAGCTTACACCTGAACCATCGAGGGTCACACTGCTCGTGTACATGAGATCCTTAATGCAACGAGCT